TCACAAAAGGACCAGCCACTTACCCCAGGTCAAAATATACTTCAAGATCTCACCAAAAACAATGTTGTAGCCAATCCTTAGTAAACTAGTTAAAGATTTATTGACTAAGAAAGAGATATGAGAGTTATTAAATGGTTAAAGTAGATAAAATATATACTAGTTGGATCAGAGTATATAGTCCAAAATGAAGAGATATAATAATCTGCCAGTCTCTTAGAATCTTTTCATATGTTCCTCGGGGTTTCCCAAAAATGGCTTTTCAGGATCTCTGTCCAATTGCTTAGGGTTCCCCCTGCCAAAAGCCAAGCACTCCAGAGATCCAGGATCATTCCCAGGCTACATCTTTTATAGTTGAAACAGGCTGACAAGCTGTGAGACATCTTTGCCAGGTGGTCTTTAATAAATATCAAATGTTGATAATCTGCGATCTTCGTTGTTTCACGTTTAATGGACCATTCAAAGATAATGCATTTGGTAACAGCCATCCAGACTACTAAAATGGTTTGCAGGTGGTTTACCATGAAAATCAACCAGTTTCAGAGTGATGAAGACAATAACATTAGCACTTCGCTAGCTTTCATATAAATGCTAATACATTCTTTGATTTAAGGCTAATTAAGCACAGGATACAGACATGAAAAAAGACAGTGCAACAACAGGTTAATCTAGCTACTCTAGTATACATTAAACAGGATACATATGCAATGTAAATAGCATTTAGCCAGTTACAGGCACATGTAGCCAATAACAGACAAGTGAATTGGGACACTTAACACTGCTTTGAGGATGTGATCTGAGCTCAGGTAGTTGCTAGTGCCCAAGAGCTAGAAACTTGTTTATACAGCCTTACATGAAGATCAGTAGGTCCCCGGTTCAAATCCAGATGCTCCCTTGTGAGTTGTATTAATGCAAAAGTATTTTCATGGAAGATAAGTCCATCAATGACTGTTATCCAAGATGGTTAGGAATGCTCCTCTGTGCTCTGTCAACAAGTTTCAGGTGGGTAGCCGTGTTAGTCTGTTGCAGCAAAAACAATGAGGAGTTCTGTGGCACCTTAAAGACTAACAAATTTATTTGGGCATAAGCTTTCATGGGCTGGAACATCTTCATCTGACGAAGTGGGTTCCAGCCCACGAAAGTTTATGCCCAAATAAATTGGTTAGTCTTTAAGGTGCCACAGGACTCCTTGTTGTCTATGCTCTGGGAGTACCTAGCCTCTGACCGCCAGAAGCTTGGAGTGGACAACAGTGGATGGATCATTCAGTTGATTGCCTGTTCTGTTCATTCCTTCTGAAGCACCTGGCACTGGCCACTGTCAGAAGACAGGATTCTAAGCTAGATGGACCATTGGTCTGACCCAGTATGGCTGTTCTCATGAAATGAAGAAAATATTCTCTGTGTGCCTGCAGAAGAGGCTACTGTTGACATAAGCTGGTTGAAGTCACTGGCTAAGCACCTGCAGCCAGAGATCGCTGACATGCTAACCCAGCTTTCGTCATCACTCGTTTCTTCTACAGGCACACAGAGAATATTTTCTTCATTTCAGTTTATTCAAGTAGTTCAGTTCAATGACTGCTTCATTCAAAGTTGAGAAACCGATTGGGAGTGGAAAAAGCAAGAAAGTTTGTTTTCCTCTTCAAATCTACAAACAGAAATGAGGCTTGAGAAGATGAGATCTACTAACTCTGAAATCTTGGAAGGACATGGTGACCACAATTTGTTCAATTCATTAACTACAGATCTTGTTGACCTTGTATGCATGGGCAGCATGTAACCCCCCACACACACACACTTTGGGGAAGCTAGCCCCGCGACCCTGCCTGAGGCCCTGGCCCTACCTCGCCCCTTCTGCCCCCTCTGTGTGCCGGAGCCCCAGCCAAACCACTCCAAGCACCGGCCTGCCCACCCCAGCTACCCCGAGACCTGGGCCACTGGATGGCCTGAGCAGTGGCCTGATACCCAGGCCTATGTGAGCAGCCTCTGGCCACTGACAGGATGGCCCAAGCCACCTGCTGACCCATGCCACCCTGAGCTCCAGGCCACTGCCGAGCTGAGCGCCCACTGGCTTCGGGGGAGAGGGGGAGCAAGGGCGGGGCCTCTGGGTGGAGTGTGGATGGGCCCATTAGCCTCCCCTGACCTAGTATACCCACCGCACATGGTTGCATGCTCTTATATTTGTTCATTCAGATTAGAACTCTTTTCAGGCTCTGCTGCAGAAACTTGCACTTTGTTTTAAAAAGTTTTTTTATTGAACTGAACTGTTGTGTAACTCAGCCTTAACTGTAGGGCAGCTGTCACACCATCCTCATAGCATTATCATAGTGCTAGGACTCTGGAAAAGAAAACCTGTCACACTTCCACAAGATGTGGAAGATTGGACAAATGACCAGTATAAAAGTATAAAAATATTGCTCAGGCATGAAATCAGGAAGGCCATATCACACTTAGAGTTGCAGCTAGCAAGGGATGTTAAGAGTAACAAGAAGGGTTTCTACAGGTATGTCAGCAACAAGAAAACAGGGAAAGTGTGGGCCCCTTACTGAGTGAGGGAGGCAACCTAGTGACAGAGGATATGGAAAAAGCTAATGTACTCAATACTTTTTTTGCCTCTGTCTTCACGAACAAGGTCAGCTCCCAGACTACTGCACCGAGCAGCACAGCATGGGGAGGAAGTGACCAGCCCTCTGTGGAGAAAGAATGCGAGACTATTTAGAAAAGCTGGACGAGCACAAGTGCATGGGGCCAGATGCTCTGCATCTGAGGGTGCTAAAGGAGTTGGCGGGTGACTGCAGAGCCACTTG